CGCATGAGACTCTAATATATATATATATATATATATATATATATATAGTTAAATATTAAACAATATTATCTTTTTTCGAAATATGAAACAAAGTAGTTTCAATAAAAAATCACCATTTTAAAACAAATCCGATATATTTATCCATTGTTTTATTACGCAGAAATCTTGAGATAATCAAATAAATCGAAAGCAGTTATAGATCAGTAACAATATCGACATCTTCAAAGATATCTTGTTTAATTCGATACTTTGTAGACTGATGGAATGTTTCCATTTTTTTTTTTTCCATTAATTCTGCAAACGATTTTTCTATATATCTTTCGAGCTTCTTTATTAAGAAACAGTTCGGTTTATATATCACTTTCGATCAAGATAATGACATCGCACGCGCTCTTCTACACACGAGAAGTATATATTATATATTTATTTTTATAATATACGTAATGACTTTTTTGATGTCACATATTCATCGTTTTATTTCGTACGCTTTTCGTGTTAATAAGGTCGCATTGTTTTGCATTAATACGAATAGAATATTAAATACGACATCATCACTTTGTGTAAGTAATTGTAATCAGGTGCTAGCTTGCAATTCACAAGTTTGAGGAGTCCGCGTATTATTTGCCTAAGGGTTTTTGCAAGTCCCATTATAAACAAGCAAGCGACAATATTCTATAAATAATACTAGATTAAACGTATCAACTATCTAGATCTTATTCTTGCTGTCGACAACGACAAGTTTTTGTATTAGACACATACGCAGCGTATAAACTATTTTCATGGCCTGCTGCCATGAAATAGGATAGCGGCAAAAATATCGTTTTGCTCCGTTTTAAATTTAAGTAACACGCGTAATCGCGCAACATTACTTTGCAAATACGTGCCGTTGCAAAATACAGTCACAGTATATTCCGGTGACTTTAATCGTTCTGTTAATCGTCGTGAGAAAGTGAGAGATCGGTAGAAACTCCGAATGAAAGCATATCGAAATTAATCTCTTAAGTCGCCAGATAGTTTTCAGAATCTCGTTAAACAATATGAATATTGATGAAATAGAAGTACATAAGAAACTTGCAGTCCTATCTTAGGCAAATAGATCTTATCATGTGTCGTTATTTAGAAAATACGCATATTAAGCTTTAACAGCTTGTCGTATAATCAACAATAAGAATTTTCACATTTTCACTTTTCAGTCTTGTAAACAATACGTTTTCGTAGAAAGCTGTCCACTTCTTTGCTCTAACGCGCTTCGTTCTTAATATCATATACTATTCTGTACATTTGTAGTTTCTAAATTCCGCAAAACTTGGAAAATTGGCTTCATAAATAATATCAGCGATCTTTTTCGACGAAAGAAGATCCCTTGAAAAAAAAAAAAAAAAAGTACCGTATCCAATCGATTAATCGGTTCTAATCAACTCTTAATCAAAATACATGGCATTACCCCGATTAAACCTGTTGTCAATACGAAGACTTGATAAAAAGATCTACATAGGCGAGCACCATTTTGTAATTTAGCGATATATACCTAGCATCCATGGGGGATGTCACACAGGTGCTTCGGACGTAAAGGGAGATGTACCACGAAGAATACTGGTTTCTCGACCAGTAATAACGTTATCAATGCGATTTCGTGCTTGCAAAATTGAAATAATTCGAGTGTCAGTATCACTTTAGTTATGCACTATGGTTGATGCGTGTTGATTTCTTTCGAGCTCTTCCAACGACAGGACGTTCGTTTGCGCAAGCTCCGGAAGCTTACCAGCCCGTGCCTGAGCGAGAAGTTCTGGACTGAACCATCGCGCGAGCTGATTAGAAGTTGGTGAAAGGTCACCTCCATTACTGCCCACGAATCCAAGGCCCGGTGAAGATTGACGGCCGACTGCCATGTTCAACTGCTGCGATCGCATCGCCCGGCCGTCTGTGTATAATATTTATCAATGTTATAAAAATATCGTTTTAAGAACAAAAAGGCAATTATTGCTACGCATGCGAATTAATTGCACAAAGTACAATAAAAACAAAATCTATTTATTATTTATATAAACTAACGGTTCTCTCGTATAAAATTCCCCAGCATAAAATATTCCAAGTAGTTAATAATTGTTTACTTTGTTTAATCCAAGAGATAATGTCAAGATAGAGTTAAATAAAGGAAAGGGCTTGCTAGTTTTCCGGTTTCTGAACACCGTTGCATGCAATTTGATTTGGAACAGGAGATACACCTGAAAATCAATGTAAATAGGATAAGGAGGGATTTCAAGTTCAGCAAATATTGATGTTTACGAAAGGTTGAAGTCGGGGGATCGTTCGACTTGTTAGAAATTGTTTCAAAACATTCTTAATCGCTACTTGATCGAATCATCACCTGCGCGATTAGAATTGTAGTTTTGACTCATGAGAAGTTGCATCGGTGTATTTACAGCTCTCTGCGGCGGCGGTTGTTGCGGCGGTTGCATGTTAACGGTTCCGTGCGGCGGTTGTTGCATGTTAGCGAGATGCGTTGGAACTTGCTGCGTTTTCATCTGAGTATTCATGGGATTTGATCTTTGATTCATAATCGAGTTCTGCGCTACGCTATATGGTGGGACATTGACATGTGGTAATGAAGTCGCCATCGTGTGTTTAGATCGTGCTGGATTGCCATAAACGTTCGGTACTGTTCTGTGCTGCTGTTGGAATTCCGCATTTCCCGCATTATATTGGAACTGATTGCTGTTCGTGTTACTGTTATTACCGCCTTTCACTATAGGTCGACCTAAAATTAAAATTTTTGTGACATTAAATGTAGTCGATAACTAGATTACATCTTATTCAAAAATATAAGTCTTCCAAACAATATCTTACAAAAATACATGTAAGATTTTTCTAATAAAAAATCCATAAATTTATAAAAAATTAAGAAATAAACCTGGATGTTGTTTAAGCGATGGATTTGACCATGTCGATTGAGCAGGTTGCGATCGCAACGCGCTGTGTCTCGAGAGAGCTCCTTGTGCAAGTAACTGAACCGCAGACTGCATTTGTTGCATCTGAGAAGCCTGAGCTTGGGTAGACATTTTCGGTGGTTCATTGCTGTTTCCTATATTTACAATACAAAATGATTATAACGATATGACTCAAGATGATTCAAGACTGATATTTATAAAATAAAATGCAAACATTAATGCTTTTTTGATATTAATGTTATCACTTTCCTTTTTCTTTTAAAATATTTGCAATGTATTTGTAGATTTGACAAAAATTTTTATTCAAAATTAAAAGATGAAATTTTGTGCCAATATAATTCATATAATTCATATATTTATGCAGTTAGATCTGCATATTGGCTAAAATAATTTATCAATAATTTTTATTATCTATGTTTTCTTACTATATAATTCACATAAATTATCTTATAATTACTCTGATATATTTGCATAAATCATATCGCTAATATTTATTATCAATTGTAATAATTTTAATAGTAATAAATGCAGCCTATTAGTTACATATTTATTTATAATACATTAATTTTTTTTTAAAGCACACATGCAATTTAGACAAGCATGAGGATTAGCAGAAATTAGGCGGCATTATTAAAAAAACAATGCGTTCACATATATTGACGAAAAGACGTAACATCAATGAAAGGAAAAATGTGAGCATGTAGTAAAAATAAAAAAAAAAAAAACAAAAAACAAAAAAAAAGAAGAAAAGTTAAAGCAGATGGGACAGATCAATAAAGCATTTTATTATAAAAAAACCTATTTCAACATATTGTTCAAAAATGTAATAAATTTATGTTAAGAAATGAAGAGTTTGTTTTATAAAGTGCTTTCTTTTATCACACATAAAATAAAAATAACATTTCAAAATATCTGTCACATTAAAGAGACATCTTTCAGGCTTCAAAAGCACCACGCCACGGACAAAGAAACAAAACAGCTGCTTTTCAGTATAACAAAAAATAAAAGAAAGAAAAGTATAACTTTGAATAATGATTAAGAATTCATTATTTTACGAGACATCAAATGTGCACTTTATGAAACTCCTCATCCATGTAACAGCACAATTAGACATTTTCACCGATTGTGAGTAAAGTAGCATTTTGCAAATCAACGTTCTCTTTTTCGTCCAATGATGTAGATGCGGTCATTAAATTTTCGTCTACCAACGTTTCGGATGATTTTATTAGTGCCTCATCAAGCGAGACACAATCGTTGTTGTTGGTATCGTTAGCAACATCTACTACATCAGACTTTGTTTTTGCATCGTCGTTTGCATTTTCATTAATATCAAGGAAATCATTTTCCTTCGTTGTGCTAATTTTCGAATTATCTTCCGTGTCTTTTTTCTGCTGTAATGGACTCAAGTATTTGGTCTTTAATGCCGATTCTTCCGTCTCGAGAGTGGTATCGTTACTTGTACAATTAACTGATTCAGGAGAATTCAGAAAGATCATTTTAAGAGTTTCATTTTGTACTTGATTGACAGAATCAGAAAATTTAGAAGAATCAACGGGAGGAGCCGCGGTATGCGTCTGACAATTATTTTGGGACGTGCAAGAATGAGTAACATTTCCATTAATTGCGGAAGTGATAGAAGTTGTTTCTACTAGGCAGAATTGATTCGCACCATCAGGTTCCTTATCAGCAGTCATTTTACGTAAAACCGAGGTTGGAGTGAAAGCAAGCGGACTCGCTGTTTGCTTAGCTGGCGAATTAACAGGGCTCGATGCGCGCTGCTGCTGAACTTGTTGCTGCTGTTGCTGCTGCTGTTGTTGCTGCTGCTGCTGATCCTGTCGCTTACGGAAATTCTCACGCTGTTCTTCCAATTTCTTCTTAATTAAAGCATTTTGCATTATAGACTGAGTATGCATAACAATTTCTCTTGGTGACGGTACTCTATGCGGCATCACTGTTATAACAATTTACATACATTTTTAAAAATATTTTTCTTAGCTAATATCGCCTAACGCACAATTTAAATATTTTATTAAATAATATGCATATGTATGCCTCTATGTAATATGCCTCTTTCTCAAATTTAATAAAAGATATTTTTCTGTTGAAGAAAAAACATAAAAAATTAAAAAGTACAACGTTTATTATATTTATTATATTACCTGGATGTTGTACTGTTAAAGTACTAGGACTAGCTGCTAAATTTGGTGATATTATCGGAGGTGGACAATAAGCTGCATTCCAAATACAGTACAAACTCATTCAATTTAATAAATTTGAAAAATTTAATAAATTTAATAAATCTGAGTTCACAATTTAATAAATTAATTTGAAATTTTAAATTGCTTTTTAATCAGCCTTTAAAGGGATAATAGAAATTACGTAAAAAAAAAAAAAAAATAACTACACAAAGAACATTTTACCGTTATTCATAGGAGATGGAATCCTTTGCTGTTGTTGTTGATACAGCATCTGTTGCAAAATGTGATCCTGAGGAGTAGGTGCAGCGGGATGGGGATGCGGACTTATGGTACGAGGTGTAGTGCCGCCATACATTTTCAAAATATTCACTAGAACTTCACGATGTCGATGCTGCATAGCAGGATTCTATCAAAGATTAATATAAAGAATTGTACTATATAAATTCTAAAATAAATATATGCAGCATATCATTGATATTGAATTATGGATAACTAACCTGCAATTGTTGTATCAAATGTTGCCTGGTAATTTCCCCTTGCTGTAAACCTTGAATAATCGCTTGTGCTTCCGGTCGTTGTAAGAGCTCTTGACTCGACGGGATGTTATTTATCATCATTTGCATCTCCGCTGGCACCGGACTGACACCCAGCATCCGCTGATTGCCCATCATCATTGATAGCATATCAGAATGTCGTTGTTTATGCTGTTGTTGTTGTTGTTGTTGTTGCTGCTGCTGCTGCTGCTGCTGTTGTTGTTGCTGCTGCTGTTGCTATTAGTATTACATATATATTATTTATAAAAATTCATTGCAGATAGAATGTTGAATAAAATGTGACTGATAATCATACTTGTATTTGTAAGACTTTCATTAGATTCTCGTGTTGCATTTGAGCCTGATGCGGATGTTGAGTAGGACCAAGAGGACCGACGTGATTAAATGTTGTAGTATGTATTGGTTCCGCGGGTGGTTGCTGATGTGGCATCGGTGACGGTTGCGTTTTCAGTTGCGAAGTAAGTAACTGAAAGATGAAGAAAAAAGAAAAGTTAAAAATCAAATCATATCACATCATTCGTTTCAATTAACATAATAAAAAAATTACAATACAACTTACTTGCATTAATGTTACAGGTTGTTTCTGAGTAATAGGTCCGTTAGCTGCAGGCACAGCTTGTCCTCCAGTCACTTGAGCAAGCTAAAAGAAGAAACAGTTCGTTTTGACATGTTCTCTTGTAAAATAAAGTTAAATTATTGTATATCAAACTTACCAATTTTTTAAAAGCAGAGAGATCTTCTTCAGTCTTATTCACACGGGGTGCATCAGTCGAAGTCGCAGGTGGAGGAGCACCACCCCGCATACGTGCTTCCAATTCTTCCAAACTATGCACAACTTTGCCACCAACTTCTAGAAAGAAATTTATGTCCATCATATTTCACTGTAGTCTTTTGATGCCGATATTTATTATCTAAAAAATATTTATCTTACCCAAATCTTTAATAGAACAATTTTTCATCATAGGTATAGCTGTATTACTCGCATCGCCCTGGCCATTTTGATTCGGCTTATTACCACGATGTAACATCTCGAGTAACTTAACGCCATTCGTGGTCGTGTTAGCATTATTGGTCGTATTGGCCGGAGAAATCGGAGCAAAGTAAGCATTCGATTCAGTCACCGATGGTATTTGAATGTTTGGCTCAGTAATGTCGTTCAATAAATTATTCAACAATTCATCTTGTATAGAAGCTCTACGACTATCCACCTGCTGAACCGGGCTTTCTCTTTTAAACCATTGGCTAAATCGAGAACCGGTACCACTGTTCGAGCCAACCCCATTCTATGAGGAAAGAAATCGCTTGAATGATGCAAGGAAGAAACGAAATAATTTCAAAGGCGTCATTACACGAAATAGATTAAAAAGACGACTTACCGTCAACAACCCAGAAACGCCAGGGAATGTATCAGACTTCAAGAACTCATCCAGATTAAAATCGGGATGCGAGTCCTCTTGATTCTGATTCGCACTGGAGTTTTCTCCCGATTCGGACGTCGTAGTCGGCTCGGTACTCTCGTTGGCATCGTTCTCTTTATTCTGAATGATAGATTGCTCAGCCTGCTCGGAAATCGGAGAATGTGGCGCTGGCACGGCATTCATAGGCTGATCCATGACCGTCGGAGTGCTGCGTCCTTTAGGACCCGCTGAGTTTTCACTCGATTTATCGTCCTTCTCCACAGCATTCTTTTTGCCTCGTTTCTTCTGTGCGGGATTTTGCTTCTTACTCTTCGCATTGGAATTACTACTGCTCACCGCTTTCTCCTCTGGAATATCCTCGAAGCCTCTAAGCTCAATCGTATCATGTTGAGACGTAGGTCCCGAGCTGAACCATTCCGGCTCGTCCGTATCGCGAGTGTCACTGTAAGTCCGTCGACGATCGTTGCCGAATCTCTTCTCGCGTCCACGATCCTTATCGCGATCCGTCTGATGATTGTTCCGCTCATTTCGCTCCGCTCCCCCCCTATCGCCGCGATCACGCTCCCTCTCGCCGCGGTCTCCGTAATCCCGACCGAATGATCTCCGCTCGAACCTCTCGTCCCGCTCGCGCAGACCATCGCGACCATCACGTTCTCTTTCCCGCATATCGCGATCCCTGTCCCGCTCCTTCCCATCACGATTATCTCTATTATCACGATCACGCAATGAACCACCAGCGGCTGTGCCTGATCTAAAACCATAATCCGCACGCTCAGGTTCGATCTTTTCGTTCTCCGCTCTAAAGTCCCATATATCTCGAGTCAAAATTCTGCCGCTACCGATTCGACGAACAGGTTCACGATGGCTGACCTGTAAAGTATTTCGTAATTGTGTTTATAAACAGAATACAAAGCGTTGTGTAAATGAAGTTGCAGAGATAAAGACTATGTGTTTCTCGGTAAAACAAATCGTGAGACAGCCACGTACCTCTGCTTTGCCAATCGGACTCTCCGGACGTCGGCTTGGTGGCTGATTCACGTTAACGAAACATCCCGAATTAAAACTCCTTCGTTGAGGGCTCAAAACGATACCATCTTGCTCCTTACGTATTCGATCTCGTGGATCGCCATTACTACGTCGCTTACTATGATTCTCAGTGATTTGATCACCACGTCCAGTCCTTTCTTCTTTCGGGGGTGTATCGCTACGTTTTCTATCCGAATGCCAACGTTCTGGATCCCAAACGCCTCGCGAGCTGCAAGAGAAAAAGTTTTCGCGCGATAAAATCGCAAATCGTCGATAATCTCGGGAAATTTAAGGGACTCTCGTAACTCACTTATTATAAGCGATGTCTAGGAATGGAGGCCTACGTCTGGATAATCGTAAATTTTTTATCAGCATTAATTCCTCCTAAAAACAAGAACGCAAATAGTACACACAACACATGTTTATACGGCCGGTATTATTTTCATGAATTTCAATAACGCTCGCGGAACGATATTTACCCGAGAATATTGAAACTGTGGTCTAGAACGGCCTACTTCCATGATCGAAGCGTCAGTCACCTCACCGGCCACCGACATCGATATAATGGCTTCATCTCCTGTAAAACAATTAAGAAAATAAGGCAATCGCAGAGTAAAAAGAAGAAAATATCGAACGGCTTCGCTCCTGAACGTCATCTTGAATCTCTCTCTTGAATCAAAATTCATCGACAGCGATCCGCCGAGAGAATCCCGAGAGGTCGAAAAAGATCTTTTTCTAATCGCGCGGCTTGTCGAGAGGGTGTCTTAGAGGTCTTGTCTTCGGGGTCTCTCTCGTACTTACGGAAAGTCACTCGCTTTAGAGGATTAACAGATTTGTTTTTCCGGAACCAACGGCAGGCTCTGGTTTGCATAACCAGGATGTCCAAGAAGGGGGACCCGGTCGGGCCGACCAGCGGTCGCTTCCGCGGCCGGCGGTACCAATTCGAGCCGATAAACCGATCGACGGCGATGAGTCTCATTGTAAATCGTCGTTTTGCCTTGTCCCGAATAAGCCGAAAAACCTTTCTTATCCCGTCGGCTGCTCTGCTTTACCTAACGTTATCGCCGTGTTTTCTCCCGGCGCAACCGTCCCCGGCGATGTAAACAAACAGGGTGAAGGGCGAGCGAGGGTCAAGAAATTCCCGAATTGAAATTCCGTCACGAGTACGTTAATCCGCTGCGAAGTCAGTAAGAAAATGAGATTCTCCCGCGAAAGATTTGTCTCTAAAAACCCTGCCTCCTCACAGAGTCGATTTTGGAAAAAGGCTCCAATGAGATTTAAATATATTGAAATCCTCTTTACTCTCTCTCTCTCTCTCTCTCTCTCTCTCTC